CTTTGTAATTCTTACTAATTTTGAATATAGCGCATTGTATTCAAATTGTAATTTATCACAAGAGGGTTCAAAAGTGATTTCCTCATCTGTCTCTGAATCTTCATCTTCTTGGGCTATGAGACAGATGTTATCAGTTTCTTCATCATTGCTCTCTTCTTCTTCTGGAGAACTGTCTCCCCAGATTGACGTCATAAAGGCCTTCTTCTTTCTGAACTTTTCTTTCTTCTTCTCTTTATCCTTCATCTTGGACAGTTGAGGACACTTTGTTTTGATGTGTCTCGGCTTTTTGCACACAAAGCAGATGATTGGATCCTTGGGCTTGTTTTGAGACGTGGAGGCTTTGCGTTGTGATTGGAACCTCCTTCTGGCTTTGTTTCTATAAAACTTCTTGAATCTTCTAACTATAAGACCCATTTCATTGTCCTCCAGGTCCTCTTTGTCATCATCTTCACTTTCTTGAGTTTTGAGAGCAATGCCCTTATGATTTTTCTCGTTCATCTCCTTCTTGTATTTTTGTTTGCTCTTATACTCTGCTAGGCTTCCGAATAGTGCTGTAACAGAGCCAATTGATTCTCCCTTTGTTTTCTCAATGGCTGTTACTTTTGGCTCCCATTCCTTCGTGAGACTACTTAAGATTTTCCTCACTTGATCTTCTTGACTGTACTTCTTGCCGAGTATAGTGAGGCGATTGATAAGGTATGAGAATCTAACTTCCATGTCTCGAATACTTTCTCCATCCTTCATTCTGAACAATTCAAACTCTATGGTGAGAGTATTGATTTTGCTGTATTTCACACCAATTGTTCCTTTGTGGGCAATCTCCAATGCCTCCCACATTTCCTATGCAGTTTCCAAACTGGAAACTCAGAAATATTCTTTTTGGCTCAAGACACAGGTCAGTATTTTGATAGCTTTATCGTTCAACATCACCAGCCTCTTATCTTCTTCATCAAACTCCTTGGGACTCTTACAAACTTGTTAACCATCTACTATTTTCATTGGAATATAGTTGCCATGTTCAATCACGTCCCATAATCCATACTCAATAGCTTTGATGAAGATCTTCATCCTCATCTTTCAAAAAGTGTAGTTTGTCACATCCAAAAAATTAGGAATAAAAAATTGGGATGAGGGTCAATATAAGAACAAGACGGGGAGATGAAACAATTTTTGATGTGAAATCCCGAAAGGTCTGAACTGGCATTTTTGTAACTATCGGTCTAGAAAGGGCAAAACGGGAAAATTTGAGAAAAATTCTAGAAAATTCCCAAAAAATAGAAAAAGTATAAATTAGAAGTTTTGGAAACTCAGTTGAATCTTAAAAGGTGAAATTTTGGTGAAAGCAAATTATTATAGAATTTCCTGTAAACATAGGCATTTCGGGAAATTATTGAGAAATTGAAAGAAAATAATTATTTTAAGTATTTGGAGGCCTCAATAAATTTGAGAGGAAGATGCATAATTTATCTAAATATTTATTTCAATTTATAAAATTTTTCTAGGCCTTGAAAGTTTAGAAATTAATTTTAGGAAATTTATTTTCCTTCAGAACTACCGATAGAGGCCTAATCGGAAAAAATTCAAAATAAATACCTAGAGGTGGCAAACAAATTCTGAAAATTTCCAGATCATATTCTCATATTAAAAGGTGAATTACCATGGAGAGAAATGAATTTTTGGAGGTTTGGAAAAATTATGGAATGTCATTAGTAAATAGTAACCAATAAAGTTTCAAATTAGTTTGAGATAGTGATTTGGTTTGTGGGCTATTTTTTTGAGCCAGCCCAAACCATTTGTGGGGCCTACAATGGACCCAAGAAAGGCCCAAATTCGTGCATTTTCCAGATCCTCCAATTTTAATTAAATAAAAAGTGAAAATAAGAGATAAATTGTTGGAAATATCTAGTAAAGGGACACTTATGCAAATCTGATCATTTCATGCACTTGATGGCTGCCACATAAACCTTATTAGGTGTCCCAATTTGGCCAAATCAAGGTAAGAGGGCAGACTTGAATTTTTTATAAATACCCCTTGAAAATACCAAGAAAAATGTTAGAAAATTGGGAAAAATAGGGGAGACTCTGCCACTGTTCATCCAGTCCTTTTGTTTAAAAATCTTGAGGTGTTTTATGCAAGAAATCATCTAACATACACTAAGGAAACAATAAGGTATGTCTAAGCATCATTGTCCCTAAGTATTATATTGATTAGATTAGGATTTTTGCCTGGGAAAATGCTGAAACAATACTGGAAAATTCTGAAAATTTCAGTTGAGATGTGTGATACTTAGGAAAGGATATAAACCTTAATAATCAAGTGGAATAAGGAAGATTAAGTGGTGTATGGATTGATTTGTGGATGACATCAAGGTTAGGGTTTAAAGGGAAATTTTCGGCCAGCACTGTTCATGGAGTAGCTGATGGATTTTGCTTGATTTGATGATTCCAATGGCTTTAAAACATGTTTTTGTGTATGGATATGATTTTGGAAAGTGTTTAAAATCATTGGAATCAAAAATAGATTTTTGGACAATTAAGAACCCCTATTCGGCCAAACCAGGTTCATGGGGAAGGAGTTTGAATTTTAAAAATATGATTGCACCATTGGATTCCTTATGAAAAATTATGTAGGATTGAGTCATGAGATGATTGATTCTAAAGAGGGAATCAATTTGTTAAAAATCAAAGAAAAAAGGGGAAAATTATTGAGTTAATGTTTAAGTATTGGAATTAAGTTGTTTTGTGATTAATATGGCCTATGATTATGCTTGGTTTAATAGGCATTGAAAGGAGGAATTAAGGAGAAGCATTGCTCCTTGGAGGAATTAAGTGGACAAGCTTTACAAAGGTAGCTTTGAATTATAATTTGATTGTTTATCTTGTTTGTTTGTTGTGATTGTTGTTGCCTGGATTAAAGAAACTTTGTGGTGACCTTGATTGTTTTATTGACATTGGTTATGTTTTGGTCAAATGCTTTGTGGTATGTCAATGTAGATAATATAATGTTCCTCTCCTTGCATAATATTTGGTATGAATTCCTATGAATTGGGAATGGTTTGGATTGCATAACATGTCACATTAAACTTGCATTGATTTACATGATAATTATAATTCATATGCTATTGAGATTTCTTTAAAATCTCATTCCTCCTATGTTATTTTATGTCCTAATTAGGAAGTGGACCAAGCATGGATCAAGGGAAGGAATTGGCCTTGGCATGAAATGGATTTATGAATATTATGTTATGTTAGAAACTTGTATCAAGTGTACCAAACTTTATGTTGATTTTATGATAAGTTATGGATGACATTTTCATGTAAATTATATTGTTATTCCATGTTCCAATGTTGGAATTATGCTTGAGGCATTGTGGAAGGAATGTGGTTGAAGGAAAAAGGGGAAATAAATCAAGAAAACGGTAGGAGATAGAAATTTCCTAAAATGTGCCAAATTTGTAGCACATAAAATAATAAGCAATTTTCAAATTTGGGCATGAAATTTTACATGCAAATAGACGTCAGAGCTCCGGCGGCCGCTTCCGGCCACTGTCGACGGCCGGACGCCGGGGTCCGGCCACCGGAGCTCTGGCAGCCTTATTTTTAAATGTATTGTTGTTATCACTTGAAACAAAGTGTGTTGTTATAAAAAAAACGTGTTGTTAAATTTTAATCCCAAACTTGTTATTTTATAATCAGAACTTGTTATTTTTAAATGTATTGTTGTTATTGCCTGCAACAAAATTTATTGTTATAAAAAAAAACATATTGTTAAATTTTTATTCCTGACGTGTTATTTTACAATCAGAACTTGTTATTTCCAAATGTATTGTTGTTATCACCTGGAACAAGAGTAAATGAGTTAACTTATTTTTTTTTTTTTCATAATGTTAACAAAAATTTGTTGGCTCAATGGTCATTCCTTATTTTGAGAAGCATTAGGTTGGGAGATCAAATCCCCTCAACCTCACTTCCCCCACTATTTAAAAAAAAAAACAATTGCAAAAAAAAAAAAACAAAGGAAGGCCGCCGGAGCTCGGCGTCCGGCCGCCGACAGTGGCCGGAAGCGGCCGCCGGAGCTCCGGCGCTGGTGGCCGGATTCCGGTGAGGCAGTGGCTTTCTTTTAAAAAAAATCAAATAAAGAGGGGTATTTTGGTAATTTGGCCATGATTTCATAATTACAATTTGAGACCGGGTCCCTCATGGTAATTTGGCATATTCAGGTGACCATAGAGTGATTTTGCTAATTCGAAGGTTTTTATTTGTGATTCTCCCAATAAAGTAGTCTAAATATAGAAATAAGAGCATATTTATCAATTTATAATTACTTTCCCTTCCCTTGTCTTATAAATCAAACAAGAAATCTCTCCTCCTCTCCAACCAAACAAAACTCATGACCTCCCTCTCCTTCTTTTAGTTAACACCCCTTCCCTTTCTTCCATGGAACCAAACAAAGCCTTAGGTCCCCTCCATACCATATGAAGAACTCTCGTTATATGTGTATAATGATTCGATGAAAATTACAGAGATTCTGCGATCATATATTATAAAATTATATCTATATTGAAGATTCTGCGAAATCTATAATTGATTCTCGAAGGCATGGGGGATTGCAATAGTACTCTAGACTATTAGTGGTAGCCTTTGTTTTGCTAATGAGCACTTTTAGTCTACTCTGTTTTTCTATTGCCAAAACAGGGGAAGCTTGAAAAGAATGGATTGGTGAAATAGTATGCAAATGACATAATATTCTATTTTACTCTTAGATTCCCACCGTTTCAGATTCTCACTACTTAAATAAATAAATAAATAAGTAAATAATGAATGGAGGAATTAAAATAATAGGAGCAAATGTTGCTCTCAAGCGTTGCGCATAGAAGCGGAAGAAATAGGAGAGACAATGTCAAGATAAGCATTGGTGGCTTTTGAAGGAAAGGAATTGGATAAGACGAGACTGAGTCTAAATTATTCGTTCAAAACTTTAAATGAAAGGAATCACAGTAGAAATAAGAATCTTATAATTTTGTTTTTGAAAAAGAGCAAAACGTGTGGAAAAGATGATATACAAAACCTATAAGTGTTGGTAATGGTGTCCAGAATCCAAATTGTATTGGCTGTGCATTTAAAAAACAGTCATTTGGGTTTCAAAGCCCATTGTCCATGTTCGCATCCTTTTGCATCCAGCTTTCACTCCCCTTTTGCTTTTTGTTTCCCTTTTTTTTTTTTTTGACATTCTTGTTGTTTGTCACGCAAAATACCAAAGAATCTTATAAATCAAGTACTTGTAAAGGATATACTCTGAAACCCGTTGACGGAAGTCGGTGGGATAGGAGTTGCCGTCAGAAGACTCCATCATCATATCAGGCTATCAGCCAAATAAATTGTCGTCCTGACTGCCAATGTTCCTTCGATTTGATAACCAACTTCCAAAAAAGAGAGGGAAGGATAGGAGGTTTTGGGGAAAAAATCGAAAGGGTGAAAAGGAAGAAGAAGTCGAAAAAGTCTGATATGTCCTCCTTTAGAGCATCATCGGATTGAGGGAGAATGGAGAGCTATTGTCAAGAAACTCGAGGCGAAGAAGACTTGGTGAAGCTGATGTCTTATTAGGGTATGTTTGGACTGATCGGGCAAAACTGACTTCTAGTCCAACTGACTTTTGTAACTGAAGTTAGAGTAAAAGTCAATTAGTGTAATGCAATTTATATTTGGATAGATATTTATAAACAGTTAGTTGAAAAAGTTAAAAGTTGTTTGAATAATTAATAGAAAAGTTAGTTTAATTGTAAAATGACTGAAAAGGATATAGATTTTATTGAACAAATTTTATGTTTTTAATGTGATAATAATTTTAAAAAAATACGTAAAATTATTATGATAAAATATAAATAGTTTATTTGTGAGATTATAAAATAAAAATATTTGTTACGGAGAAAAATTTGAAAACACACTGTAAATAATTAATTAAATATATATAATGGATAAACATGAATATAAATTAAAATTCATTTGGTCTCTAATTAAAGTAAATGAAATCACATAACTAATTAGATTGTAAGTTTTGCATAATTTTCTTATAAGTTAGTTAGAAAAGTTAATCCATATTGCGTTAGATAAGTCAGTTAGAAAAGTTACTTTTCTTCCATAAGTCAGTTAGAAAAGAAGCCCTATTCAAACAATCTTTTGAGCCACAATAAGCTACTAACCTCAATTTCACACTTCCCCAAGTGCTTTTGTCTTCTCCAACTGCGATCTAAACGTAGCCTTAGATGACGATGGTGACAGTTTTTTGTGGCTACATTACAGAGTGCGACATCAACAGAGGTTCCAAACAAGGTCAAGCTTGTCATTGGAGGAGATATTTCAAATGTTCAGTGCTTCTTAATAGAAGTAGTTAACAGTGTTAATGTTTATTTAACGATAGGGACTAACAGATCTAATTGTAAAAAGTTAAAAGACTCAATAAGGGGGGAAAAAAAAAGCTCAGGGACTTGATTCAAAATTGAAGAAAACTATAAAGATTTCCAAATTAATTTTTCCTAATTTAAAATATTAGACGCACACTTAAACATAAATATTAGATATGCTTTATTATTAATAGTAGATTATTATTTGTGCCTCCAATGGATGTTATTCTCCTGTTATTGTCATTCTCAGTTAAAATTATGTATACAGAAAGGAAAAAAATGATTGGAAACGATTTAAACTAAAGATCATGACAAAATCTAAAATTTAAATAAATATGAAGAGAATACGATTAGATGATTGTGAAAGAAAACTTACTTGCCCCTAGTGTTCCAACCAGATATGTTGGCAATTTCAAGCAAAGGACTTCACCAATTCTGCACTTTCGTTGTATTTTCGATTAATTGATCTTCATGTTTAGCCAGAGAGAATCTTGATTTGCTTGAAACAGATGTTGTTTTATGAATCCCCCTATCTCAAGATCTTTATCATCCCCAAACGTTTTGATGCCACTTCTATTGAAGGCTTCGTCCAAGTGATCTGTGAAATTCCTGCGAGTGTTATCACCTGCGAAACTCAAGAAAACGTCATACTTCCATTCTGGAGTTGAATTCAAAGTATCCGAGCTGGAAGAAGATTCTCCTCTAGCACTATATACCATTGTAGGGGTTCGATCTTTTCGTTTTGGTCAAGGATTAATATGCAACAACATATAACCATATCAGTAACAACTTCAGAAAACAAGAAAAAGAATCAGAGTTACGAAACGAAATTGAAAGGAGTGGGTAAAATGACGAGAAGTTTTTGTGCAGAGATCAATAAAACTCATTATACAAAGATCCATCTTGCTTTCTTCTCCGCACTCACCGCTGTGATGTGGAGACGACGATCTACAATGAAAAGAGAGATGTGGAGGACGAAAGAACCAACCTTTTTCCTTTCTCTTCCTAACCTTCTCCTATCATTGACTTAAATGGGAAGACTGACTTTAGTGTGTGGGGCTTCATGACTTTTCCTTCTTATTTACCGGCAATGTCTTCGTTTAATTTAGAAGTCCATGCAAATGCGGGCGCTTCAAACATTTTACCCAAAAACTACAAAATAAAAAACAGTTAAATCTGGTATATATATTTTTTGGCTTTCATTTCACCAATCATCAAATTATCTAACCGACATAGCACCAAAAAAAAAAAAAGCTGTTTTTTAATAAACAAATTCACTCAGACTTTGTACAGGCTTTGGTTTTTGGTAATGGTTATGTGTTTGAGAGGGAGCAATTTCAGAGGAGTCCTATGTATAAAACATGAAGAAATTTTTTTTTGTCTTATTCATGGGCATTTTATTAAAATTTTAATGTGAATTTACTATTTTACTATTTATTTATTATTGTACAAATTATTATTTTTTATGAAAGGGCATATATTTAATATAAATAAAATTATGAAGTTGTTAAATTTTAAGGTAAATTAAAGGGTTAATTAATCTGTTGGTCTTTATAGTTTCAACTAATTTTGAATCAGGTCCTTATAGTTTTTTTCCTTTTTATCAAATCCTTATATTTTCACTTGTTTTTAATTAGGTCCTTACATTTATTTTTCTTTTTATCAAGTCCTTATAATTTTACTAAATTTTTAATCAAGTCCATGTAGTTTTAATTTTTATTTATTAATTAAATATAAATTTAATTAAATAGATTAATACTGACATATAAAATATTGATAATGAAATTAAATTAAAAATTATATAATAAAAAATAAGTAATATAATTAATTAATTCAGGAAAATTTTTTAGAACAATTAATATTTTCTTGCTAGCAAAAAATAAAATTCATTATAATAATTCATTATTTTTAGAATATTATTGTTTATAAACTAATATTAAATAATATATGCTATTTTATGTTAATAGAATAGTATTATTAGAATTTATAAAATAAATAATAAAAAATTCAAGGACTTAATTAAAATAAGGTGAACTTATAAGGACTTGATAAAAAGAAAAATAAATATAAGGACCTAATTAAAAACAGGTGAAAGTATAAGGATCTGATAAAAAGAAAAAAAATATAAAGACCTAATTCAAAATTAGTTAAAACTATAAGGACTTACAGATTAATTATCCCTAAATTAAATAGGGCTTAAGGTTTTTTTTATTCTAATAAAATATATTAAAAGTGACTTATAACTAATATTCAAAAAAAAGTTATATAGTTGTTTTTTTTTTTTTTTGCCCCTTGATGTGCGGAATTGGCTATACTCCTAAATATTTTATTAATACTTCCTTGATTAAGAGGATTGTTTGGTGTGCTTGGAGAAGCTAAATTGTTATATTGATTATTGAATTCAGGCGACAAATAATGGGATGGCCTTCTCTTATCCAACATGCACTTCATTGCTTCATAAAGCGATGCATTGGAAGAAATAATGACGCCATCCGATCAAAACACAATAATAATCACTGAAGGTACATGTATAGCATATACTCCAACTAATGTACAGCTGTGCGAACGAATTTTTTTTTTTTTAATGTTAGAAATTGACTTTAAGCCCAGCTTTCAAGACTGGCATGAGGCTTGCAGAATGAGTTTCAATTCGGTAATAAAGGGGATGATGGTAATTAAAAATGCTCATTCTTACTGCGCATTTTATGCGTATTATTTAATTAGATGGTTGGGATTTTATTTTATTAATTACTTTTATTCTTTGAAAAATCATTTTAATGTATATAATATTTTATTGGGTTAAAAGTCAAAAACACACATAAAAATATACCAAAAAATCATTCAGCACTATAAACTTTTTTTAGAGTTTAAATCTATCAGTCCAAACTTAAAAAGAGCTCAATAATGTCAATGCCGTTAAAATTAACTAATGTTTGTTTTTTTTTGTGGGACCTACAATTTTTTAATGAAAGTCCCAAAATACTCCTAATTAAAACAAAAAATTGTTAAGGATAAAAAATATTCATGAACTTATACCAAAAGTTTACAAAAAACTTTATAATTTTTATGTGAGTACCAAAATACCTCCAATGTCGAAACACTGTTACATTAGAATGTATTAGAGATTATTAATTATAATAAATTTTGATGATTAAAATAACTTTTGTGAAAAGGTTTAAACTTCAATGATAAGTTATTTATATCCCAATCTTTTTCTTAGCAGACATTATGGATTTTTTTAAAAATAATTTGTTTGTATTAAGCACATATGGAGTTGTGTGTTTATAATAAAACCCTAAACCCTAAACCCTAAACTTAACAGTCATCTTGAAATTTCTTTTATATCTGTGTTTAATTCTTTGAGAGAATTTAAAGCCTCTTCTAGTAGGTAGTAGGACTCACAATATTTTTAATTAAAGTATCAAAATATCCCTATTTAATAATATAAAAAAAACCATCATCTCCCTCCAACCTTTCGATGGTCCTCTATTAGTTTATCTCCTTCCCCAAAAAAAAAAAGTTCATTCTCTTACAAGATGGATTCAAATTCTTTATTTCAATCAAACTTTAGAGCATTCTCTTATAATTTTTTTTTCTGAGATTTAATTATAATTTTTTAAATTGAATTAAAAATCTAAAAACATGATAAGGTACAAAAATATTTAATTATTATGTATAAAATTTATGTTATTAAAATATCTTCGGCCGTGAGAATTAATATGATAACTATAACATTTTGCTGGTTTTTATTTTAAAAAAATTGGCTAATCATGAAAAATATTTATTAAAAATATTAATTATTTTTTTTAAATTATTATAATTAATAATCTCTAACACACTCTAATGCAATAGCATTTCGAGAGTGAAAGTATTTTGATAATTTTATTAAAAATTATATGATGTTTGGTGATATTTTGATATAAGTTCATAAGTATTTTTTACTTTTAAATTTTTTATTTTAATTAAGGGTATTTTGACACTTTCATTTAAAAATCGTGGGTCTTACAACCAAAAAAAAAAAGGATGTTAGTTTAATTTTAACAATGCTGGTATAATTGAGCTCTTTTTTAAACTTGGATTGATAGATTTAAACCAAAAGAAAGTTTATAGTATTGAGTAAACTTTTGATATCTTTTCATGAGTATTTTTTGCCCTTAACCCTATTTTATTTGTTAGTTTCCAAAATATAATTTTTTATTTAAATATTATAATTAAAAAGTTTACTTCTAAACTATTAAAATTGTATTTCAATGGCACAGACCTCAGTCCACCATGAATACCATAACGTCCATAATTGCGTTTGAGTCTAATATGCTGTAGTGGTATATACTGCCCATTAATACAAACTAGTACAGTACCCACGGGTGTAAATTAGTATTTCTTCATATACCATAAAAAGTTCAATCACTATATAACGATTACTTAAATTAGTTAAATTCATATATATGCTTCTGTCGCCAAAAAAGAAAATTCATATATACCCAAGATATAAGATTACAAAAGGTTTCTTTGTAAGCAATATTGAAGGTTTTTTTTGTGTGTGTGACATTTCTATCATTTAAGATCATTATTTTCAAAATATTCAGAGAGTCATTGATCTTAAATGTTCTATATACTCTTATAACGTGTTTTGCTAATATAATCACAATTAACTATATGTCATTACAAAGACCAATTGACTTCACTTATAATATTGTTATGTATAAACATGATTGAAGCACTCAATTTGACATTTAAAACCAAGTATCCTCTTTTATATATATATATATATATAGTTATTTAATTTTTATATTTTTCTCAATTTGACATTTAAAATACACCTATATAATTTAATTTGATAACTACCATCAACAATGTAAATTAGAAATCATTATTACATGGGACTTGTGTTTATTCTTTCTTAGTTATTGTTTTCTGTTCTAAATATAAAATCCCACAAGTATATTTAAAATAAAAATGAGATCATAAAATATAGTTATTTGATTTCTAGGTTTTTCTTAATTTAAAATTTAAAATTTAAAATATTTATTCAAGATTTTTATTCCCAATCTAAAATGTAAAATAAATAATAAATATTTTAGTTGTAAATATAATAATGAACTTTAAGCATTAAAAATTTGAAGAAACAACACTGCATGCAAGTCTTTCCAAATTCTATTAACTTATTTTTCTCTCTTTTTTTTTGGTGAAATATTTTTCTCTCTTTAACTATCAATAAATATATTTTATGATGAAAATAATGACACAATATCTTAAGGGCACAATCTTATATATTTTATTTTTCTCTCAGTATTATATACTTCAATTTTTTTAAACAAAAATATGATTACATATCAATAAGATGCAATAAAATAACAATTTTGAATTGACATAAATCGATTGAATAAAAATCGGCATAACATTTTGTTAATTGAACATAAAAAAAGAGGAAATTAATTTTTTAGTCCTCATAGTTTTAGTAAATTGTGAATCAGGTCCTTATATTTTTTTATTTTATCCTCACTGTTTACTCCGTTATTCATGCTAGTCCTTCTGTTTACTAAACATATATACGTCGTTAGTTGGAGCTGATGACTGATGAGAGATCCTGTGACAATCTGACTTGGGGAAAAACACTGACATGGCAGGAACAAGAGTTTTTTTCCCCCAAAAAAAACTTGCTTCAGTCTCCTTCCCTCTCTATCACCCACATGTCCACACCACTCTTTCTTATCTCTCAACAATTTTCCAGTAGTGATTTCTTCAGCAACAAAAGCTTTTGCTTCCTCCACCTTTCTTCCTCGTCTACCTCCTCAGCCACCACTCGCCACTGCTTCTTCAGAATCTGAGTTGCTCGTGTCAAGTTTGGGGGCAAGAAACTTCATGTCAATATCGGCACCATTGGGGGATATAGAGGATCCTCGCTTTCAAAAGCAAAGCTATGATGGATTTGAAGCGAAATTTCGAGCGGATAATAAAAGAAAGATAATGCTTACAATGTTT